AAAAGCCTTCAGCCTTTAGTTTGGGTGACTACTGACTTCTAGTCCTTATTAGCTACATTAGCCTCATAGCTTCAGCACTAAACTTGGCTAATAGACTAAATCTGGGGTGAGTGGAATGTGCACTGTGCACATTTGACTTTACACCTAACTGTTCCTTTAAAGTTTATTATTGATGGATGTTGAACTGCCTGTCAGAGCAGTGAGATCAACTCTGTTAATACAATATCTAGAAATAGATTTAATAACCTCAATAATAATCTGATGAGAAATATTAGATATATCAGTTTGGAGCTTATTATGTGACACAGATCTCACGCCCTTCAGTTCAGCACAATCACTTCTGTCTCATTATCACAAATTATCATGATTTATGGTAAATTACCACATAAGGTTTGCTGACATTACTTAATCATTAATCACTTATTAATCATTGATCCGTTATGCTGACTGTGGATTTAAACTGCTGTCAGTCAGCACTAAACCTCATTAAAACTCTGACTCACACTGATCAGTAATGAACTCAGAGCAGGTCTGATCAGTCATGAAGAACCTTCTGCACTGGATTTACTGTAGTGATGCAAATTTGTTTATTATAATCACAAATGTTTATTTTTTACCATTGTGTTTCTTTAATCCATTAAATAATTATGTAAATGGAGAAAGGAAATAAGAACCGAAACATTTCAGAAGGATAAATTAAAATAAACTAAAATACATTAAATAAAGTCAATTAAACTAAACTGGACTAAACTAGACCACAGTAAAATAAAATAAACTAGGCTAAATTAATCTATGCCAAATTAAATTCAAATAAAATAGACTAATCTAAAGTAAATTAAATTAATTTAAATTAAACTAAACTAGGCTAAGTTAAAGTAAATTACAGTAGACTAACTAGTAATTAAAGTAAAATAAATTAGACTAAACTGGGCTAAATTAAACTACGCTAAATTAAATTAAACTACAGTAAACTAGACTAAATTAAATTAATTTAAATTAAACTAAACTAGGCTAAGTTAAATTAACCTAGATTGAACTAGACTAAAATAAATTAAACTAAAATAAACTACACTACACTAAATAAGGCTAAATTATTTTAAACTAGACTAAACTGGACTAAATTAAACTATGCTAAATTATTTAAACTAAAGTAAACTAAACCAGGCTAAATTAAATTAAACTAAACTAGACTAAACTAGATTAAATTAATTTAAACTAAAATTCACTAAATTAGGCTAAATTAAATTCAATTAAACTAAACTAGGCTAAGTTAAATTAAACTACAGTAAACTAGACCAAACTAGATTAAATTAAATTAAATTAAATTGAATTAGGCTAAATTAAATTAACCTAGACTCAACTAGACTAAAATAAACTACACTACACTAAATAAGGCTAAATTAAATTACACTAAAGTAAACTAGACCAAACTAAACTGAGCTAAATTAGATGAAAATAAACCGGACTAAACTAGAGTACATTAAATGAAACTAGACTAAACTGCAGATTAAACAGAGTGACGCTGTTTAAGGTTCTAAAGGGACACTGAGATCGTTCTGAAAGGTTCCTCTGTGAACTCCAGTCTGTGTGAGCCGCCTGCTGATGGTCGAGACCTCATTAAGTCGACTCACGTTCAGCCCAAACTCAGCCAGATCTCCACACGGTTCCTCGGCTCCATTCTCCTGATGGTGGAGGGGTTTCCATGGCGATGGAGGAAGCGGCTCCTGCGTGTTTGACACGGTTCTGTTCTGTTCTATTTTCGTTCAGCAGCCCAAACCCACACTGGAGTAACACTGATGCTGTACTGAAACTTAGAACATACAGCATGTCTCAGCACAGGAGATATGCTGAAATGCTTTTTTCATGCATGCTCATGACCTGGTCCAGTTGTGACCGGGAGCTGGCTACCTGGTTTAGGTGTGGCTGAGAGCTGGTTTGGCCTAGGTATGCTGGAAGCTGAACACCTGATCTAGGTGTACTCAGAGCAGGTTACCTAGTCCAGGTGTACTGAGAGCTGGTTAACTGGTTTAGGTATGCTGGTAGCTGGTTATCTGTTCCAGATGTGGTGGGGGCTGGTTTTCTGTTCTAGGTGTGCAGAACTGGACTGGGTTCAGGATCACCTAGAAATCAGAGCCAGGTGTGTTCAGTGTTCAGTAAAAACCCTTCAGTTGGGCAGCGTGTAAAAAACGGCCAAAGCTAATAAAGCCAACAATGCGATAAATCAAACTGTGTGTTTACACAAAGTGTGAAAAGCTAATGTTTGTGTTAGTGGACGTTCCAGAAGAGCTCACAGCCTAATTCATCTCAGCTGATAGCCACAGTCAACAGAGGTCACTCTGGACGGCGTCCCAGCAGGGCAGTGTGTTCAGTTTTCAGTGGTTGTGCTTCCAGCGAATCGTATTCATCAGTGCGCGTCAGCAGGAGTTTTATCTGCTATAGCGCTGCGAACATGATCATTTAGGGGCAAAATTTCCTCAGAATCATTAAAGAAATATAATGTTATCAGACGAGGCTGCAGAGAATGTTCACTCCTCCAGTCATTCTGTCCATTCACCTCCATTTACCCTCAGCTTTATCTCTGTATCAGTTCTCAGTCCTGCAGTCCTTATTTATGCATTCCTGTGAGGACCACAAGGCTCAGCCTGAACCCGACCCAAAACCCGATGTTTTGCAGTCTTCTAATCCAGTCTCCAGCAAACGCCGCACTGAGGGCACAGCGGACACTTGCGAGGACCCTCAAATGAGGAGGACATTCTACACTGGAGGGGTCTCACTTCTCATTCAAAGGGGTCCTACGAGCGTCCTTTGCGTGCCCTCAGCAGGGCCTTCAGCAGAACCAGTCAGATCAGGTCGGGTCTCAAGTTTAGCAGCACTAGTCAGATCGGGTCGGTTTGGGTCTCAAAGTCAGAGGTTCAGATTTAAAAGTAGGCAGTACCAGTCGGGCCTGGTCGGGTTTGGGCTTGAGTTTCATACCGGTGCAGAGCTCCGCACTGCTCAGCCCAATCAGAGCGAGGGTTTGTTTACAGATGTCTGATCCACATGGCAGGGAACACGACATTCAGGTGGAAGTTGTTTATTAATTTATCCGAGTTGAATTACGCTTGAAATTATATACTGAGACACTGTAAATAAACAATCTGTCTCATTAAAACACAGCACATCTGATAATCTGACACACGAGGAGCCTGAATATCATATGAGTCTGAACCAAACACACACCTGTAAACCCAGAGCCCTCAGAAACTCCTGCGCTCTGAGTCCGCACAGCACTGACCTCACTGAGATGCGGACTCTGAGGAGGAGAGCAGGGCTTAGAGAGCCGTCTGGGTCAGAACCTCCTCCTCTATCCACTGTTCTTCTCCTCCAGGATACAGACAGAGTCTGAGTTACAGCAGTGAGTTACAGATTTATTTACAGCAGAAAATAAACATAAAACAGCCAGAAACAACAAACAAACAAACACATAAACAAGGAATACATCAATAACAATAATAACATTAATAGTTATGGATTCTCAGTGTTACTGGAATCATTTCAGTATCAGACAGATGTTTACATGGGTCTGATGTGTGATGATGTTTATGGAAGAGCAGAGTTTCTGGGTGATGCTGAGTTACTGAAATATCTTATTATATTCAGTTTACTGCATTAATAACTCTACACAGATTAATGCTATATTTCTCTGTGATGTTGAGTTTTGAGCCCTAATTTATACACTGTAGAAATGTTCATGAATCAGCATCAGGAGAAATATACATTAAAATATTAGATATTTGGCACAGAATTCCTGTAACACTGCATCCCTAATAATAATAATAATAATAATAATAAATTGGGTTTAACTATATTGGGTTTAAGTGCATGAGAAAGTAAATGAAAAAAGCATTTCAGCATAAACAATCTTAAAAGTAATCTTAATAAACGCTTGTATGATTTACATCATCTCAGGAAGCTTTTCTCCATCTAAATTTCACTGTTAGAGACATTCCCTCTGAAAATCTCATAATGTTTCTACATCACCTGCGTTCAGAAGACTGACTTTCTAAACCCTGCAGCTAATAATCCAACACTGACCTCACTGACCTTCCACAAACCAGCTAATCTACCTCCTGTGCTCATCAACACCGATAAACACATTAATAACAATCATAACAATTATATATATACTACTAAACCTGAACACAGATATGAAGGCGCCCCCTGTGGACTGTTTAGAGGAACTACACTTCTAGCTCTCTGAAGTTTCTCATGTTCTAATGAATGTTTCCCATCATGCACCTCTTTACAAAAGCAACAGCATCCAGTATTAAAGCGACAGTCTGAAACAATAATCCCCTCTTACTCCAAATGTAGCTGGAGATGGAACACGTTTGGTGTCTGAAGTTATATCAGCCTGAGGCTAATGTTACTAAAAAGTAATGGAACATTATACTGCACCAGTTAGCATGATGCTTCTAATACTGTACGACACGCTGTTATAAACACAGCTAAGTCCAGGTTTATAGACAACAGCACATCATACAGTGTCAGAAACCACATAATCAAGTCTACCGGTCTGTGGTCTTAGCTTGCTGCTAACTGGTGGGGTATTAGCTTCCATTACTTGTTAGCTACATTAGCCTTGTAGCTCCAGCGCTAAAACTGAAAAAGGAAACTTCAGATACCAAACGCAACTCGGCTGCAATGTGAGGTAAATCAGATTTTTAGCAAAATAATTACTTTAATACTTCAAACCAGGCCTTTCAGAACCCAGAAGAACCCAAACTCCCACCTTTAACCCTGAACCTAAACTCTGCAGCCTAATATCATCAAATTATTCACTGCCTCTTTATGGCTGTTTATCTTCTCTCAAATAACGTCACCAGAGGCAAAGAGTAAATAATAAGTGTAATAAAAACGGTAAATACAGGATAAGATGATGATCAGATGATCAGAGATGCTAATGGAGTTACAGCAATGCTAGCATTGTTACAGACAGAAATGAGGATAAACTCACTCAATGAGGAAAACACCTATTTATTATTTATTAATGAGGTTCTGGACTGGTCAGCTGGTGCTTTCATTAATAATTCAAATATCAAATATAAAATACTGCATTTCTGATGAGTGGTGAGCATCTAAACCTCACAGAACAATCAGCTTCCTGTTTCAGTCAGCGCTCACCTTCAGTCAGGAACCCAAATAAACAAGAACATCCAACTGTAAAATAATAAACAGTAATGTCCGGTTCCATCAGCGCTCAGCAGAATGCTCTGGGGTTCAGCGTGGCGGCTAAGCTAAAGCTAAAGCTAGCTAATGCTAATGCTGTATATGGAAAGCTCTGCTGTTGTTTATGTAGTAAAACTGCCTCTGTAATAATGAGTAAGGCATTATGGGTTATTAATCTCAGCTGGACGCAGGCTGAGACCGGCTGAAACTGGCCGGATGGACTCCTCGTCTTCAGTGCAGCTCCACCCAAATATGCTTCCCCAGCTGGACGGCTGTGACGATTCAGCCCAGCGTCTACTTCCTCACGCAGCTTTCTTAGCCACAGCCAGGCCAATCAGTCCGGCCAGTCCGGCCACGCCCAGGCCGATTCCTCCCACTATCGCCATGCCAACCAGCCCGTCTGCAGACGGAAAACATTCAAGAGTCAAAGCGCTGACAGTGTTCATATAAGGTACGTTCTACCGCAGCTGTAGAACTCGTAGATCATTAGGAACTCGTCAGTTACACTCTTAAAAAATATGATTTTTTAAGGGTTAGTAAGAACAGTAGCTCTATATAGAACCATAAACACTCAAAGAACAATTCGCATGCTTAAATGGTTCTTTGCATGGTGAAATAGTTCTTCAGATTGATGGAGAATGTGTTGTATATGGTTCTATATATAAAACCTTTTTGAAAAGGTTTGTTTTATTGTTACAAGCTTGACATGGTGCTATAAAGAACCATATACAACACAACTCAGTCTGTTCTACAGTTTCTCATTAGGCTGAATGAATAACCGACTCTAAATGTAGGTATTGTGATATAAACTGAGTCTGTTCTACAGTTTCTCATTAGGTTGAATGAATAACCGACTCTAAATGTACGTATTGTGATATAAACTGAGTCTGTTCTACAGTTTCTCAATAGGCTGAATGAATAACTGACTCTAAATGTAGGTATTGTGATATAAACCGAGTCTGTTCTACAGTTTCTCATTAGGCTGAATGAATAACCGACTCTAAATGTAGGTATTGTGATATAAACTGAGTCTGTTCTACAGTTTCTCATTAGGTTGAATGAATAACCGACTCTAAATGTACGTATTGTGATATAAACTGAGTCTGTTCTACAGTTTCTCAATAGGCTGAATGAATAACTGACTCTAAATGTAGGTATTGTGATATAAACCGAGTCTGTTCTACAGTTTCTCATTAGGCTGAATGAATAACCGACTCTAAATGTAGGTATTGTGATATAAACTCATCGAGAGTCATTTAGAGTCGTTATAGAGACGTTTCTGACCTCTCTTCATGGCCTTGCTGATGAGTTTCTCCAGCTCCAGGGCCTGTGTGTTACCCGGCTCGTTCTTCAGTAAAGCCCTGATGTACTTCAGCGCTCTCTCATACTCCTGCAGGACGAGGAGGAGATAAAACACAAAAACAGGTCAGTAATCAGGTCAGAGTTGAATATGGTGGGTTTTATTTGTGTTCTGGATTCTTTTTCATCACCTTCAGTTTGTAGTTTCCAACAGCCAGGTAGAACAAATAATCCCTCTGATCATCTTTGGTCCCTTTATGAATGAGATCTGGTGCAGGAAACAAATAAAGCAGATTCTACACCTACACCCCCGGCCACTTTATCAGAAACACCTTTATTGTAGCTCTGTCTTGCAGGTGTTTAGTTACAGAGTGTAGGTCATCTGTTGATGTACAGTTTGTGTTAGTCTTCCTCTAGACCTTCATCAGTGGTCAGTTAGTGGAAGCACAAAGTGAGTGTTTCTAATAAAGTGGTCAGTTAATGGATGTAGAAGGCAAGTGTTTCTAATAAAGTGGCCAGGTAGTGAAAGCATAAGGTGGGTGTTTCTAATAAAGTGGTCAGTTAGTGGAAACACAAGGTAGGTGTTTCTAATAAAGTGGCCAGTTAGTGGAAGCATAAGGTGGGTGTTTCTAATAAAGTGGTCAGTTAGTGGAAACACACGGTATGTGTTTCTAATAAAGTGGCCAGTTAGAGGAAGTAGAAGGTGGGTGTTTCTAATAAAATGGTCAGTTAGTGGAAACACAAGGTATGTGTTTCTAATAAAGTGGCCAGTTAGAGGAAGTAGAAGGTGGGTGTTTCTAATTAAGCAGTCAGCGAGGACTGTATTCAATCACATGTCAGTTACAGCCCTGATTTAAATGAAAGTAAACTGAGGAAGCTGTGAGGCATTGGAGAGCGGGAGAGCGCTATCTTTCCAGGCTAGCTGTTTTTAGCAGCTGGCTAACTTGAAGCAGCGCTCCGTCACTGCACAACACGGAGAACTGATGATACTGTGGATCAAACACGACACAAAAGCACGGCTTTCAGTTTAAACGTACCTAAAAGGAGGACTCTGTTTGTCTGGTGTTGATATTTTGCGTTTCACCACTTAAACTACTACGATAGTATAGAGAAATCCAGTCGTCTAGCTGGTGTCTGAATACTGTGATGTCGTGTGTAGCGGGGTAGCCGAGCGCTCGGCACCAGCTAAACATAATCTGTTTTCTTTCTTAAATTATGACTATTACAAAATAGCCGTGCTTTTCCAGCTGGTAAAAACAGCTCAGCAGACACTTTCTCCCACTCTCCCACGACAGATCTGTGAAATGTTCCACTGTTTGAGTGTTTGTCATGATCAGACCATAAAGCATAGCTTAAAACAGCGATTAACCACCCAGGAGCAAAATCAGCCTTCAAACTTGAAAGAAATAATGATTTGACACTTATCGCGATATGTATCGATATCGAACGATATGAATTTTGTTCATCGTGATAAAATTTTTGGCCATAGCGCCCAGCACTAATATGTGTATATATGTATATGTATGTATGTGTGTATATGTATATGTATGTGTCTATATGTGTACATATGTGTATGTATATGTATGTGTACGTATGTATGTGTATATATGTGTATGTGTATATATGTATGTGTATGTATGTGTATGTATGTGCATATATGTGTATGTATGTGTATGTATGTGTATATATGTGTATGTATGTGTATGTATGTGTATATATGTGTGTGTATATATATATGTGTATATATGTGTATATATGTATGTGTATGTATGTGTATATATGTGTATATATGTGTATGTATGTGTATATATGTGTATGTATGTGTATGTATGTGTATATATGTGTGTGTATATATGTATGTGTATATATGTGTATATATGTGTATGTATGTGTATATATGTATGTGTATGTATGTGTATATATATATATATATACGTATATATGTGTATATATGTATATATACGTATATGTATGTGTATGTATGTGTATGTATGTATATATATGTGTATGTATGTGTATATATGTGTATGTATGTTTCTCACCGTCCAGCAGCTCGACGCCTTTTTTAATATCAGGGCTGGATTTGCTCCGGATCAGACACCACGCGTACTCAAACTTAGTGTCTTTGGAAACAGCCCCCTTCGCCAGTTCCGCGCTGTACTTCCTCTGGAACTTCTGTAACGAACCCAGCAGAACATCACCAGAGATCAACACCAGCGCCAGTGATCCGGCCAACGCGCTACCGGGGGTTACACGGTCAGCGCGGAGTAAACACACTGTAGTTTACACTGCAGAGATCTGGGATCGCTAAAGGATCATATTCCGTTTCTCACAGCTCAGTTTATGAATAATAAATCATCATTTTTACCTCCAGATCTTCAGGAGCTACGACCTCATCCACCACCGCCTCCATGTTTGTTTGGGCTGACGTCACCCAGTCACATGACTCACCCAGCTGCGTCAGGTCACGTGGAAGATCACGAAATGGTTATTTTTATCTAACGATCATCACCAAATATCAATATTTTTACCATTATCAAACTTAAAGCTCATTCACATATAAATATATTCACCATTTAAACATATTCACCGTTTAAAACCTCTAATATATAAATAATAAAACCTCTAATAAATAAATAATAAAACCTCTAATATAAAAATAATAAAACCTGTAATAAATAAATAATAAAACCTCTAATATAAAAATAATAAAACCTGTAATAAATAAATAATAAAACCTCTAATATAAAAATAATAAAGCCTCTAATATATAAATAATAAAACCTCTAATAAATAAATACTGAATGTAGATTTTCAGTCCTACGCGCCCATAAAGCTTCATTTCTGGTGTGTTGTTTTTGTTTATTTGACTGTTTCTGGATTGTTTCTTAACTTTTGAACTCGTTTTGCAGCTTTCTGGTCCTTTCAGCCCTGACCTGATTGTCAGCTGGTCACGTGGTTTGCAGGTTAATTAGTGAGACACCTGTCAGGTGTGTGAACATCAGAAGCTTCAGTTTGAGCCAGTTCTGGGTTTAAAACGCATTTCTGAAGAACACAGTTATCAACGTTTATGTTTGTATATTATATTGGCTTAGTTTAAAATGCATTATGAAAAAATGAATCGGTGAGTGTTTCACTGTGGTTTGTAGTTAATTCAGATCAATATTAAGCAAATTCTTCAATATAATTTAGGTTAAATCCACTGTTTGCTGTACAGTGTTCATCTCTAGTCCTGTTAATTGTCCAATATCAGCCTAATAATCAGCGCTTTCCTCTTTTTCCAGCGTCTTTTTGTTTGGATTGTTCTCTATAACACTAGTTCACTCTGCGCTGAACGGTAAGCACTTTAACAGAGTTTAAATTCCTATCAGCTTTACAGTCTGATTATCCACTGAGCTTTTACAGGGAAAACTCCAGTGTTTATCCTCTCTTATCTCAGTAGAGCAGCTCAGAGTTATCTTTACTGCTTCTGTGCGGCAGATACAGGGAGCAGTGGGGCACAGACTGACCCCGGTCAGACAAAACACAGAGATTTAATGGAGTTAAACAGTTTGCTCATTTTCTAGCATCATCATCGGTGAATTCTCACAGCAGTCAGACAGATGTTCCTCCAGGTTCTCCCTGTTTTATACCATAAAAGTAACTTTACCCATCCTGAGTGTTTGTGATCAGTGATCTGTACAGAATTCACTCCTATATTAGTTTAATCTCCTCTTGTTGTTTGTAATATAGCAGCATTTAGACGCAGATAAACAGCTCACAATGAGAGCCAGACAGGCTTAAGTACAGCCTCCACACGGGGGGTTAGTTTAGCACACTGTTACAGCTCAGACCCCCACAGTACACAATCAGAACTACATATAAAATCCCCCCCATATACAAAACTACTTTCAAGCACCGATTAATCAAAAACCTGCTCTGGATGTGAATGAGACATATTTCAGCATTATTGTGTGAGTTGTTCTACTGTGTGTTCAGTGTTTGAGTCTCTCTACTGATCATATTTATTTTGATGTGTGTATTTTTATGCATTTGGTTGGAAAGCTCGTCTGGATCATACAGCATAGAGTTACAGTGAATTCATTTTTGTTTTGAGTAGATTCGGTCAGTCGCACCCACCCACCCCCTCCACTCTCAGCTGAGCTGTTTACAGAAGGTGCTGGAAACAAAGCTGTCGTCTCCATTTGTAGCAGACTGCTTACATTAAAAATATCAAGTATTTTTACAGATACTTTTAGCAGAAAACAAAACATGTTGGTGCAAAACGGAGCACAACTTATCTGTACTAGACCAGTCTCGCGTGGTCAGTTCAGCTCAGTCAGGCCTTTACTCGGGTGTGCTGGGCAGGTGAGCTCTTGGAAATCGCTGCATTAACACACATCATGAAACTTCGGTTCTAAAGCTGTTTCCTCCTTTTCTGAAGGAATGTTTAAGACCGAGTGCCGCGATCGTCATTTCTGGCTGACTGTAAAGTCGCACTTCCTAGGAATCAAGTTCTGGTTTGAAGTGCAAGGTAATCCGTGTTCTTCTGTTCTAGTCTGTATGTTTTAACATGCTTAGCTTAAAAAAGCTTAATGTAGCTTAATGCACTAAAACATTCTCTCACAGCTCACTGCGCTCTTAAAGATGTTTCTTCAAGGGTTCTGAGTCTGTTCTACAGTTTCTCATTAGGCTGAATGAATAACTGACTCTAAATGTAGGTATTGTGATATAAACTGAGTCTGTTCTACAGCTTCTCATTAGGCTGAATGAATAACTGACTCTAAATGTAGGTATTGTGATATAAACTGAGTCTGTTCTACAGTTTCTCATTAGGCTGAATGAATAACTGACTCTAAATGTAGGTATTGTGATATAAACTGAGTCTGTTCTACAGTTTCTCATTAGGCTGAATGAATAACTGACTCTAAATGTAGGTATTGTGATATAAACTGAGTCTGTTCTACAGTTTCTCATTAGGCTGAATGAATAACCGACTCTAAATGTAGGTATTGTGATATAAACTGAGTCTGTTCTACAGTTTCTCATTAGGCTGAATGAATAACCGACTCTAAATGTAGGTATTGTGATATAAACTGAGTCTGTTCTACAGTTTCTCATTAGGCTGAATGAATAACCGACTCTAAATGTAGGTATTGTGATATAAACTGAGTCTGTTCTACAGTTTCTCATTAGGCTGAATGAATAACCGACTCTAAATGTAGGTATTGTGATATAAACTGAGTCTGTTCTACAGTTTCTCATTAGGCTGAATGAATAACCGACTCTAAATGTAGGTATTGTGATATAAACTGAGTCTGTTCTACAGTTTCTCATTAGGCTGAATGAATAACCGACTCTAAATGTAGGTATTGTGGTATAAACTGAGTCTGTTCTACAGTTTCTCATTAGGCTGAATGAATAACCGACTCGAAATGTAGGTATTGTGGTATAAACTGAGTCTGTTCTACAGTTTCTCATTAGGCTGAATGAATAACCGACTCTAAATGTAGGTATTGTGGTATAAACTGAGTCTGTTCTACAGTTTCTCATTAGGCTGAATGAATAACCGACTCTAAATGTAGATATTGTGGTATAAACTGAGTCTGTTCTACAGTTTCTCTAAGTCTGTATCTGAATTGACCTGTGAATAAAAGTAATACACTTGTGTGGAATAAATAATTGTAATGTCCACTGTCAGATGTTATTGTTGCCCTGTCTGTATTAGGAAAGTCTGGTGTGCGTCCAATTGAGGGTCAGTGGGCAGCGGAGTGCGGATACACGGTGCAGCTGGACTCTTGGGGAGACCTCACACTCCGCGCTTCGTACCTGGCCTGCGCAGTGGACAACCAGGTCAGTCTCAACTGCAAGACAGACCATCACAGAGCGGTGATTGGATGGTTCTGCTGCAGAGGGATTCTGATTGGCTGTTGTTTTGGTTTTTCTGCAGGGTGACTCTGAGTTCCGGCTGATGTTGTGGTTTGTGAACGAAGGTGCCGATGGAGAGGGAATGTCCCACCATCCTCTACTGCTGTCCTGTAGCCTTGTGGAGCCATGGCGCCCCCGAGAGATCATCTGTGAGAACAACTACATGGAGGTGCTCACAGCTGCGGAAAATAAAGTGTTTTCTAGTGCATCACAAAACTGTACTGTATAACAACTGTACTGTTCATCAAACTGCTGTGTGCAGGTATCTGTGGAGAAACAGGTTCCTGCTGATAATCACAGAGGAACCGAGCGGATCTTTCCAGCTCCTGCAGTAAGAGTGCATGAGTGTGTCAGAAAACAAACTTCTGCTGTAAACAGTGCTGTTGAATGTCACAGTAATGATAAAAATAAAACTTATCTTGCAGTTCTAAATTTCAAACTTACTTTGGGTCATTTTTCTCTGAGCTGTAAAGGACTGTGTGTCTGTTGTAGGACGATATGCTGCGTGAATGGCGTGTGTTATTCCGTGTGCCTGATCTCCAGCAGCACCCAGGCACCGGCTGGCCTCCGCTGAAGGAGGAGATTATACCTGTAAACCTGGTGCACCTGCTGGGTTACAGCATCAATACCACAGCAACCCGCATCATCCTGCGCTGCAGCTACGGGTCCCGACTGGCGTACACACTGCAGGTCAGAACACTGGACACTAATCCAGCTGAAATACAGCACTGACCAGGAGTGACTGTAATACACTACAGGAAGTGTAGGGGGCGATATGGCTTCTACTGTTTCATTTAAAAAGCCTCTATAATGTTCATATGATCCACACAGTCACTCTGATTGATAACTGTATTCTTTCCCAGCAGGGCGGTGATGTTACAGTAGAAGTGGTCAGCACTACCATCATATACAGACATCACTGGACGCTGCTCAGAGTGGACATGTCAGTGGCCTGCACCACAAGTACGATTTATCTCTTTAAAACTAAACAATGACTAGTAGTAAAGTTGAAGTGTAGACTGTCAGTTTACAGGGGGATTCCTCTGATGTTTCTGAAATTCCCCATAATTCAGTGTGTGAGGTGTAATCAGAGGGGTTCAGAGGGGTTTGGTGTGAAATGGTTCAGATGTCTTTACAGTGGTGGTGATAGGAACCAGGGGTCGCCATGACTACAACACAAATATAGACATTTTATTTACTATCCAGAACCACCATTGAACCTACACGAGTCTTCTGAGTCTATATGGAATGTTGATGATGGAAAATAGTGGAAAATCTGAAATAATAAGTAAAAATCCCCAAAATTCTTTTGGGGACTATTTTGCCTCACAGCGCCCTGCATGTATCCCTCCACCATGAGTGGAGGTTGGTACTAGATGTTTTTTTGTATTTGCTTCTCTTTCTGTAAAATGAGGACTTCATGAGGCTGAATTAATCAGTCAGAGCTGAAACATTAGGCAGTAAAATCATTGGTAGTTTTTAAGATGCAAGAAGCTTTGAAATTATCAGCAGCTGCAGAATTACTGTTACTGTCCAAATGCTTCTTGACTGCTCTGTAATGCTGCTTTATCCTCCAGCTCAGGGCAGTTTGGATGGAGCAGATGTTGTGTGGACTTTGCCCTGGCTGCTGCCCCCCCTGGTGGTGCCCCCAGTCGGTCAGAAGAATCTGAAGGTGGCAGTGGGGGGGCGCTACATCACCCAGTGCGTGGCACGTCACCGTGGTTACAGGATCCATGACAACAACAACACTGTTGAGATCCGCATCCCATTTGGAGCTGAAGGAGGACGACTCAAGGTACGAAAAAACTGCGCTGCTGTGCTGCTCAGCTTTGTTTGGAAGTAGCGTAAGTTAGCATGATTGGAAAGTCCCCAAAAACTCCAGTTAAGCATGTAGATGTGTGACATGCAGATTGCAGTCAGGACCTTAAAAGATCGGGGACTAGAAGGATTTGGGGGCAGGGTTTAGGGGGGCGTACCCTAGTTAGCAGCAAATTGTATTCACACACATTTCTGTAATGGTGAGAGATCTACGATTTTGGTTTAGAGCTGTAGACAAGTGTGTGTGTGTGTGTGTGTGTGTGTAGAGTGGTGTATCTGCAGGTGTTTATCTTCATCTGTACGAGGTGGATGTGGAGCTGCTGAGAGAGTGGCAGGATTCAGCCTGGAAACAAACCCAGCAGCGCACCTTCAGAACCCTGAGAGTCCACCAGAACAGCCCCATCAACATCTCCAACTGTGAGACACACACATATACACACACATATTCTATGTGGGGAAAATAGCCACTGTGATAGGCTGTGGGTCTCAACCCAACCTGGACAAAATCCCAGCATGCACCACGCTGAGCCTGGCGGTGGACAGGCCTTTTATTTTGGTAGTGATGATGTTGGTTCCAGTGGCTCCACTGAACCAAACTTGCTCCAAATCTGAAGTAAATGTATTGCGTTCCTTCTGAAGTTCACTCCTCTGCTGGTTCTGTGAGGGTAACGTAGCTCTGACGTAGTGTAACGTAGGGGACGTTAACTAGGGGACGTTAACTAGGGGACGTTAAAGGTCTCAATGCAGAGTAGTTCACTGAAACATCCTTTCCTGTCTGCTTTCCATGTTTGGTCTGATCTACTGATGGACAGAGCGGGGACATGGGTCACTGATCAGACAGAATCATGGGAAGCAGAGAGGAAAGGATTATTCCTACATGTCCACGTCTGCAGAATCTGCTGAACATGGTTTTTGTTCCCTCCTGCTGTCCCCCGCCCCCCTTCTCTCAGACATGGCGCCCTCTGGTGGAGAGCTGGTGCTGTCTGTCGGGGAGTTCCTTTCTGACGTGATGTTGGTAAACGTGACCGTAGCAGGACGGAGGTTTAGTTTGGAGGAAGCTGAGCGGAACGCGGTCCGAATCTCTCAGGTTCCTTTCCCCAATGGCACACACTCCTACCTGCTGCAGGTGCCCTTCACACACCCCCTTATCACACAGCAGGTGAGGACACACTCGCACGTTCAACCCCACTGCAGAGTTTCAGTTTACTCTGAACAGGTCTGTCCACTGAGTGTCCACTTTATTAGAAACTCCTACTTCGTACCTGGGCTTACTGGCAATTTTATCAGAAACACAGTGCTGTGTAGGTGCTCTTTGTAGTTCAGTAGTGCTTCTTCAGAAACTCTGCCCCCAAATTTATGGACATGCATTGCCAGAGCGAACAGCTCTGGGCTGGTAAAATTATTATTATTATTATTTTTTTTTTGTTTTATCTTTGTGACCAAAAACCCAAATGTTGTTGTATGGACCACAACATAACGTTAAAATGAATGACACAGTGAATAACTAACATCCGGCTGCACTGGGGGTTGGAAAACTGTCACTGCTGTGAAGCTAACAAGCTGTTATTACAAACATTAGCAAACGAAACAAAACAATACTGACCTTCTGGTTCTGTGAAACAGCACAAATAAGTGAATGTTGCCCAGAAACAGAGCAGCCTCCTCATCCCTTTTCATGCCTTTCAACACTCCATGAAGCTGAAGTTGCTTCCTATTCGCCAGCTTCTTGTTTAACTGACCCTGTCCCACCTGAAATGGTGCAGGAGTAATTATTCTAAAGCCTGAGGTGCCAGGAAGGTGGAATAGGAAAATACAAATATGAAGCCGTCAGCCTCATCAGCCTCTCGATCTTTCCACTACTGAAACGCCCTCACCTGATCTAAGAACTTCAGTCTTGGTTCTTCAGATCTTCTCCTCTTTGGCTGTTTCTCTCCATCCCTCCTTCTTGATGATGTGTGGAGATCAGCATGTGTCTGAACAAAGCCTTTGTTGACGAGCCTCCACGTCCAGATCCATTGCAACAAAATTTGAAATGGTTTGAGCTGTTTTGACGCTTGATGGAACTTCGTTTCTAGTCTGGCGGCGCTAATGCAGCGTCCTCGCTGAAATACACTGCAGGTCTGCGTTTCTGACGCTGCGTCAGCCTCTGGTGTGTCGGCATCCTCACTGTCAGTTTCTGATAAACGGCTCAGTGCAGCTCAGTGAGAGTGAAGTTTCTCTCTGCAGTATTCGAATGAGTGATACTGGAGTTTCTCTCTCTCTCTCTCTCTCTCTCTCTCTCTCTCTCTCTCTCTCTCTCTCTCTCTCTCTCTGGCAGTATTTGGGTAAAGGCCACAGGAACTATTCTCTCTCTGTGCTTTTCTCCTTCCTGCTTTCTCCTGATGGAGAAACCTTCCACATTCCTGCTAATGTCCACTCCAGCCTGCAGGACGTGGGTGAGTCCACACCATTCAGTCCAGGTGCATTCTGGGGCATTATTACTGCTATGGGTCTTTTCACTGTATATGATTAACCCTGAAGACTGTTTGCTTTTGTTTATTTCCTCAGTGGTTCCATGGTTGAAGGGCGAGTGTACGGAGCGTGGTGTGCGGATCCTGGTGCGTTATGGGAATTTGCGGGGAGAGTGGAGTGTGTATGTGGGCGGACTGAGGCTGGACTGGCAGCTGGTTAAGGATGGACAGTACGTTCTGGATACCACAGGGGAGTTCATCACCGTGGAGATCCCGCTGTACGCTCCAGGGATGGACTACAGGGTACAGACGCTAATGAACTTCAGCCCATGTTTGCAGATCAGTGAGTCATACAGAGTCAGAAACATTGTAGTCAAGTCTGTTAGAGATTCTGAGGCACGAAGCTGAAGTCGGCTTCCTGTTCACCAGCTTCTTATTCAGATCTTCTGTTCCACATTAAACGGTGCAGGAGTGACATTCTGGCACTGCCTGTTTGCCACCGTGATGGAATGATGCTCACAACACACCAGCAACCACCTGAGTTACCATAGCAACTACTAGAGATACCATAGCAACCACCTCACAACACCCTACTAACCACCTGGGTTACCATAGCAACCACCTAGCAACACCCTAGCAACCACCTGGGATACCATAGCAACCACTAGATATATCATAGCAACCACCTAGCAACACCATAGCAACCTCCTAGCAACCGCCTATGTTACCATAGCAACCACTAGAGATACCATAGCATCCACCTGGAATAATATAGAAACCATTTCTTAACCATTGGTTGCTTTGTTGTTTGATTCGTAGCAAACACCCCAGCAACCAATTAGCCACACTGTTGTAAACATCTGGAACGCCATATCAACCTTCCAGTAATCTCCTGTCAATGACTCAGAACACCATAGCAACCATGTAGTAATATCCTCACAATACCAATCTTAAGTGATATAATCTATAATCCATATGTTTTTTGTTTGTTTGTTTTGTGGTGGTTATTTTTAGCTACATTAGCCCAGCAGCTCCAGAGCTAAAATAATAGAAGTTAATACTCTCTGTCTCAGGGTTTGGACCTGCGTGGTCTGGCGGTCAGTGTGTGGGTTAGTTTGGTCCACATGGAGACGCTGGAGGAGTTCACTCACCTGCAGGAGTGTGTGATGCCTGTGGAGGAACTGCTCGGTAACGTTTACTTCTGTCTTAACACAAATATATTATTATACTGTCTGACTATTTAAATTACTCTTCATTTTAAAATTGCACTCTTAATTAATCTCTTGTCTGCAGTGTGTCTGCCGGACGGTCAGATGGTGGTGCTGTTGGACATGTCTCGTGTTTTGCCTTCTGTGGATCCTAAACACACTGCCCTGCTGGACCCGTCCTGCGGCCCGCTGGACACTGACCACTCTAGGGCGCTCTTCAGATTCCCTGCAGAGTCCTGTGGATCCACCATTACTGTGAGTCTGTAGATCCAGAACCCGATATATTTTGTCCTGTGAACATTTTTCTCCCGAACATCACTGGATCCTCTGAATTATGAGGTCGTTAAAGAGCTGTATCAATATTGCTACATGTGAGCTAAAGCTGCTGCGCATCAATTTGATGTCAAGCTACACGAAACTAAGGCGGGCTGTGCCGCTGCTCTGACGAGCTGTGGTATCTTATCCAAATGTTCTACCGTAGCGCAGAATTACAGGTTTACCTGTAAACAAAACCTCTGGGTGGGATATTTTGATAGACAAACTTGATGTGACTGCCACACCATTGAAGGTGGAACGGGAAAAGTGGAACAAAAAGCTGGCGAAGGTCCTCAGAAAAATGTTACCAGCATTAAAATAATAATCAGGATATTCTGAAAGCCGAAATCAGTTAATCAGGGGGTGATAACCTGATTAAGGAGGCTGTCAGTCTAATGATGTGAATTCAGTGTGCAGTAGCTTTAGCTCACATGTAGCAATATTCATATTTCAACCTTGGAATTCAGAGGATCCAGTAATATTCGAGAGAAGAATGTTCACAGGACAAAACGTATCAGGTTCTGAACATTTTTATTTAACACAGGGGGCGATAGAGGCCATTTTTTGAAAACTAAAGATTCATTCTGGGCATAAAGAAATGGAGCTCCGACCCAGAGTTCCTAATATGGACATAAGAGCTCTGACTACAGAATGACGACCCGACTACAGTGGTCTGTGAACATTATAGAGGCTTTTTAAATGAAACAGTAGAAGCCATATCGCCCCCTACGCTTCCTGTAGTGTATTACAGTCTGTCAGAATGACTGTGTGGATCATATGAACATTATAGAGGCTTTTTAAATGAAACAGTAGAAGCCATATCGCCCCCTACGCTTCCTGTAGTGTATTACAGTCTGTCAGAGTGACTGAAACTCTGTTTTTCTAATACAGAGGGGCTTCCGATACTCCTAGACAGCACACACTTTGTGTGTGTGTGTGTGTGTGTGTGTGTGTGTGTGTGTATGTGTGTGTGTGTGTGTGTGTGGGTAATTGTAATTGAAATATTGCTCATTTGATGAGGTACTGCTCTGTTTTATCACCCCATTAGAAATGATCAGAACATTACTTTCCATGAAAATATGTAACATTTAGTTAAAAGAAAAGCACAACAATAAAATGACTTATATGAAATCGATTCCAGCTGATTTAGGACAAGTCTACTAATGATAACATCTGGGTGAGATTTTTGAAAAGTTATTGTCTAAATTTATTTTTACTTTTTCCTTGTTTATGAAAAATGTGGAATTTGTTCAATAATAAAGATATGAAACATGGTGGTTATTAAAAATTTCCAAAATTGATTGGATAGGCAGTGCTTTAAATTGTCCTTTCACCAAATTTAAGCTATTTTTGTCAAATAGAAAAAAACTGGCCACAGATTTTCCTGTTTGTACTTTTAAATATTTGGGTGTAAATTGGTTAAGTGAACTCTAAGGGTTAATGGTAGCTGAGAGGTGGTGAGACGTGTGTGTGGTAATAATGCTGACACTGCTGAAGGTAAATATATTTCAGCTGTAAAGCTGTAAAAGATGTTTATGGCTATAAAAACGTGACTTGCTTCATATCTGCCAATATAACTGCCGCCGTGACTCCTCTCTGTCCAGCACATGGATGGTCATGTGACCTACACCAATGAAGTGAGGCTCCTCTCCCCAGGCCTCTCCCATGTCAGGCCACACCCCCACCCACACCTGTCCAACAGGTGAGTGTGAATCAGGAGTATTACGTGTGGTTTTATTGCAGAATGACCGCTTTATGACCGGTACTCTCTATGCCCGTATCTGCCCACACTGAGAGTGAATCACTCGGTAAACCGCATCCCTGCAGCATTACTCAGCGCAGTTCCTGGAATGTGCTGGGCTGTGAATGGAGGAGGTGGAGTTTTGGGTCATAAACATGTGCAGCACAGAGCCAGAATCACCTCAGATCATCCGGAAATAACTCGCTGTAGGCAGTGTAAGCAGGTGTTTATGGTCATGAGCCACCAGGGGGCGCTGTGAATGTGCAGTGAGGCGATGTTTGGGACTTGTTTCAAGGTTCAGGTTAAATTTAGCAGCTAGCTCTTGCCATGCGTTCACATTAGGAAGCAACCACTCGCTAAGGGAACAGTTCTGTTTAGAACTTCTGTATAGAACCATTTCATGCTTAAATGGTTCTTTGCCAGGTGAAATTGTTCATCAGCTTCATGGAGAATGTGTTGTATATGGTTCTATATAGCACCAAAAAAGGTTCTGCTATTGTGACAACGTCAACTCTGTAACAACAGAAGAGCCCTTTTTGGTGCTTTATCACTAGAACTTAGTCTCTATATAGAACCATATACAACACATTCTCCTTCAGTCTGAAGAACCATTTCACCATGCAAAGAACCATTTAAAAATTAAACGATTCTATGTAGAACTCATTGTTCTAAATCAAATCATTCACTTAGGTAAAGAACTATTGAAGAACCATTTAAGAGTAACCAGAAACTGTAAAATCTACTGTATGCAGCACTGTCCTCAGTATTAACTGTACACTCTTAAAGATGGTTCTTTAAGGGTTCTTTAGTAAAAATTGGTTCTAGAACCATGAACATTCAAAGAACCCTTTGCATGATTAAAGGGTTTTTTGCATTACGAAAGGGTTCTTCAGAATCTGCTGTAGATGGTTCTATATAGAACCCATTTCAAAAAGGTTCTATATAGAACCATCTACAGCAGATGCTCTATCTGAAGAACCCTTGAAGAACCATCTTTGAGTAGTGATCATCCAACAGCAGCGGCCGTATTGCAGAATCGTCCCGTCTTGACTCCTGAATGAAGATCTGTGAAGATCGAGGTCACAAATTCGTAATATAGAAGCAAATTTAATCTTAATTTAGGATTATTTTTAATCTCACATTAGGAAACACTGAACCACTCAATCAAGCTAATCAGTCAACTCTTATATCCGTTAGCAAGTAAACAAATTAGTTCAAACTGCAGTTTAAAAGTAATAAATAAATAAAATCTTGTTTTGTTATTTACAGTGATTATGTTCTGATCTATGTACACCCCAGACATTAATAGTGACAGTAATAAATTAAATATATACAAAGTCATCATTTATAGAGTCTGTCCCAAACTGTATCCCCTAATTTACACTTCTGATAATAATACTTACTACTTAATACTGAATTATGTTTTTTAAAGATGTGTGATTCACTTTAAAGTGAAGTTGAAAGATTTTCTGCAGTTCAGCACTTTTTAGTGTTTTAGTGTAAAATATGATGATTTTCTGTGTGAACAGCTGTTCAAAACAGAGTTTCTGAGCTCAAAATGAGAAAATTGTCACCGAAACAGTCACGACTGAAACATTTGGTACAGTTTGGTAGAGTTATGATTGTTTTGATAGAGACCGAATAAAATTTTCCATCATTAGTTTTAATAAAATAATCATAATTAAGGTTTAGAGTCACTCAGAGTTACAGGGTTTTAGTCTAAAGTCTAAGATCAGTTAAAAGTCCTGAATGTGTTTCAGCTCCGACTCTGAGTCAGTTCAACTGTGTGTGTGTGTGTGTGTGTGTGTGTGTGTGTGTGTGTGTGTGCGCGCGTCAGTGTTCCTGTGATGTGTGTGTATCCGGAGAGCGAGCCCCGCAGTGTGTCCATCTACAGGCCACGGTCCACAGCGCCCCCTACTGCAGCACTCAGACCCCCGTCACGCACTCGGCACTCAGGTGAGGAACCGTCTCTCTGATCAGTCTGTTCACTGTGAGGCTGCTGAGTTCTGAGGTTCTGTCTGTTCTCTCACTGTTGATTTAGAAATAAAACGGCGCCCTCTGCCTGCTGGAGGATGATAAAGCGGCCAGGTTAGTGAACACTGCTTTAAAGTGATACTTCAGCCAAAAACCCCTCAGTTCCCCCCACTTCCTCTAAACACACTCACAATGGAACTGGTGCTAAACTGTCACAGGGTGGAACGCTTAGAACATCCTTTAATTAGGGAACATAACTGTGCCTTAATCCATGACATTTATATGCACACTTAAGACAATAGGTTCTTTGCATGGTGAAAGGGTTCTTTAGATTGAAGGAGAATGTGAAATATTGTATATAGCACCAAAAAGGTTCTGCTATTGTAAATAAGTTTGACGGTGTAAAAATAGCAGAACATTTTTTGGTGCTATATAGAACCATTTTCAAAAAGGTTCTATACAGAACCATGTACAACACGCTCTCCATTAATGTGAAGGACTACTGCGCCGTGCAAAGAACCGTTTAAGCAATCAAATAGACTGTCTTTACTAAAGAACCCTTGAAGAACCGTCTTTTTGTTTAAGGTTTATTGACTCTGTCGCTGTTCTCCAGAGGTTTTATTGTAATGTTCTGTTTTTAAAATTAGGTTATGAAAAGGTATAAATATCCACTGAGGAACATATTTAAGGTTCTTTGAGGGAACATTTACACTGATTGTACATTAATGAATAAATAGCTGCACAGAACCTTTTATTCTGAGAGCGATCAGCCGAGACGTTTAGTGTCTGAACTTTGCTTTGCTTTTCTTTAGTTTTAGCACTGCAGCTACGAGGCTAATGTAGCTAACGGGTACTGATAATGCGCGCTCTCTCTCTCTCTCTCTCTCTCTCTCTCTCTCTCTCTCTCATCCTGTTGTTCTCTGAAGTGCACTGTTGCCGTGACGACAGCACCAGATGCAGCAGCATGGTGAAACACGAGTGGCCGTCCGGTCCGTTTGGTCGGCAGCGCCGTCGGTCACTTGCTTAGCTGAAAATAAATAAAGTTTGTGTTTTTCTCACAGTCCCGGCTCTTTACTCCCTCACTGATCAATAGCAGTGATTGACTCCTGATATCAGACACTGCACCACCGATCAGCAGCTCTGTTTATTTAAATCTTCCTCATTTACATATTCATTCATTATTCTCAACATTGTTTTTTCTGTTGTCTTCATTTCAGCGTTTGAAAGGTAATAAAACAGCTCTAATCGTTCTGATTGGCCGGCCGTGTTACACTTCCGCTCTGTGATTGGCCGTCTGTGTTGCCATGGCGATCCTGTACTGCTCCCTCAGGTTTCGGCGTCTCTGGTGTTCATTGGTCACCTCGGTCACCGAGTCCTGAGGGAACCACCCTCTCGCTCGGTCCGACAGTCGCAGTCCTTCACACCAACCTGAGAGAGACAGAGACAGAGAGACAGAGAGTGTCATGGTAACATTACAGCTGATTACAGCAGGGGTGCCAAAACTTTGTGTCTTGGGGGTCGAGAGCCAAAAAGACCAAACAGTTCACAAATAAAGAGACAGGGAGGTCTCAAATCCTCATCTTTACACTGTCTGTGACTAAAATATTTCAGAATTTACAATTTTAAAAGAAATTTAAGCTGCATATTTTTAAATATGTTTATTTTCTCATTGGTTGGGGGGGCGGGGTTTAGTGCAGGGCCGTCCAAAGTCCGGCCCCAGGACCGAATGTGGCCCCCAGACAGATTTTAACTGGCCCGTGTCTTCTGTTCTGGACTGTGTCCTAAGTGGCCCACCTGATGGTGGCAGCAGTGCTGTAAGGTTACAGTGTAACTGCTGCACTGTGTTTTGTTAATGTTTAACCCTTTAATGCCGAACAAACTCGGGGCTGTTCATGCTGTTTAATCTGCTCCACAGTGATATTGAATGATGTCGTTGTGTTTGATCTGTAAAGAATCTGATCTACCAAAACTGAATATTCTTAGTTTTATTTAGTCTCAGATTATATTTTTAAACACGTCAGCACTTAAATAAGAACATACTGAACACATTAGACACGTTTTGTTACTCTGAATAAACAGTTCGGTGATTTATTATAAGGAAATGTTACTGTTATTGTTGCTGTGGTGTCCCAGGTGGTTGCTATGGTATCCTAGATGGTTGCTAAGGTATTGCTAGCCATTGCTATAGTGTCCCAGGTGGTTGCTAAGGTGTTGCTAGGTTGTTGCTATGAATGTGCCCATAAAGGCGTGTAGTTTAGTTCTCACCTTCATTAGTTTTGCGGATAACGTTGATGATGTCACAGCACTCTAAGCTGAGCTCGTCCACCTGCTTTGCGCTGTACTGACGGATACACTGGACCTGAGGGCAGTCTGGAACACACACACACACACACACAGACACACACACACACACACACAGAGATGTGATCGATTCATTGATTAATCGAATAATAGCCCATAGATTAACCGATAATAGATAATGATTAGTGTCCAGTGTGTTGCTTTAGGGGGTCCGTACGGGGGTCCTGTTCTTCCTGCAGTTCATTAATCAGATTCACTGACTGCTTTATAACATTCTAACAGAAACGTGAGGAGCAGCTGATCAGTCCCAACTGTCATCCACTCAGCGCTGATCTACAGCTGTAGTGTCCCCTGCTGGTGCTGAGTGTAACTGCAGCTCACCCCAGTCCTCATACACCTTCTCCTGCTTTTCCTGCTGAGCAGAGACGGAGGGGAACGCGGCCGTCCACCTGTGCAGGTCAGACCTGCAGAGAGAGAAGAAACTCCAGCTGAGACTAGAAGCTGAAAACTGATGAACGAACTTTGGGCTGTTGCTATGGTATCCCAAGTGGTTGCTAAGGTTTTGCTAGGCCACTGCTGTGCTGTGAATGTTGTCAGTTTGCCATGTCTTACTCAGTGTTGGCCTTCAGCAGGCGCTCGCAGGTGTTTCCCTGGTGGTTCTCCAGCAAGGTGAGGCAGAAGGCGTGGTCCAGCTGTGGTTCAGAAATGTCTACAGGCTGGACCTGCACCAGGGAGCGGTGGGCATGGTCCAGAACCACAAACCGCTCTGGACTCACGCTGTGGAGAAAGACAAGGAAACAAAGGAGGGAAAAGAGAGAGAAAAAAACAAAGAAGACCTTCAGCGTCTACATCCTTAAACAAACGGTTCTTCATGGGTTCTTCTGTAAAGGCAATGTTATACATACACTCTTAAAAAAGATGGTTCTTCAGACTGATAGAGAATCTGTTCTATATTGCACTATTTAGGCTCGCATACAATAGCAGAACCCGTTTTGGTGCTAAATAGAATCATATACACATTCTCCATCAATCTGAGGAACCATTTCACCATGTAAAGAACCACTGAAGCAAGGAATGGTTCTATATAGAGCTCATGGTTCTATATAGAGCCATTACCCGTACTAGAGATCCTTTGACGAACCATCTTTTTAAGTGTGTAGAACTGTGAACTGTATAAATGGTTCTTTTAGTGGTCAAGTGGATCATCTCTGATAGAAAACTTATAAAATTGGTTCTTTATAGAACCAGAATAGGTTCTGCTATAGTTACAAATCACAGAACCTTTTTTGGTACTAAGTGGAACCATTTTTGCTGAGAGTGAACTGAAAAAGCTCAGTGATGAGGGTGTAAATGTGGTGCAAACACAGCTCTGGCCCCCCGGTGGCTGATCAGTGTCGGTGCGCCCACCTCTTCCTGGCGGTGAGGATGAGGAGGTCGTTAAAGAGGAAGACGTAGACGGGGGTGAACCGGAAGCGGCCGAAGAGCGAGCCCACCTTACTGAACTCCTGCAGCTCGCCCTGCTTCTCCAGCCACCGCGTCTTAGACACCAGCGGGATGGCCTGAGTATTATGGGATGGAAGAGATTACAGGTCTTTATACTGCAGGCCATACAGCTTAAGTCTAAAGCTGCAGATCACAGACAGCTGCTGATCTACGTGGAGAACCGATATGAGTTTACTGCAGTTACAGGAACAGGGGAGGAGAACCTGCTGGGGGTTCAGAGCTCAAAGTTTCACACCTTCAGCTTGTCAAACTCCAGGATGTTGGCGATGTGCATCAGCTCCTCCATCTGCTTCATCTGACCAACCTGAGTGTTCGCCTCCTGAATGATCTGAGCAACAAACAAACAGCAGTGTTTATTTCCTGTAACTGAACCAGAGCAGAAGCCTCAGACTGTTTATTTCAGCGTTTAGTTCCAGCAGGACGAGTGACAGAAGGTCAGACAGTAGGTCAGATGTTCTGATCGTATCATAGTGACCAAACATCAGAGCTGTTTTCTGTGCAGCTGCTAACATGACCTCCTCTACACTGAGCTTCACGCTTCAGTTATGATGGAAAGACAATCGATCAATGAATTAGATTTAGGAAGATCAGGTTCTTTAGGAAGATCAGGTTCTTTAGGAAGATCAAGTTCTTTAGGAAGATCAGGTTCTTTAGGAAGATCAGTTCTTTACCTCTGAGACAACAGCCAAAGCTCTGGAGGCCGACGACTCCTCCGCTGAGCCCTCAGCCGTCCGCTTCAGAATACTCTAGAAACAACACAGAACATCTAGAAATAAAATACTCTAAAGACAAAACAGAACATATGAGAAACAAAACGGAACAGTCTAGAACAGTCCAGAACAGTCTAGAACAGTCTGAAACAAATCCGAACACTCTACAGACAAAACAGAACACTGTAGAAAAACATTCTCCAAATCAAGACAACATGGGGAGCTGCAGCGCCTCATACAGGAGCTGAAGCAGTATAAGAGTCAGTGTGGAGGTCAGTGAGAAGGTCCGTGTGGGGTTCAGTGTGGAGGTCAGTGTGGGGTTCAGTGTGAAGGTCTATGTGGACATGAGTGTGGGGAATTCAATTCACTGAATCTCCTCTTGCAGGCCAGCAGGTTCAGGGAGAACCTCAGGATTAAAAACCTCCACACTGACATTAAGAACCAGAAGATCATCACTCAGGATAGAACCAGCCCAGAGGAACAGAGCAAGATCCCTGATTAAGAAGGTCGATTCACCACAAAGGAGAGTCATCAGAGCCAAACACGCCCTCAGAAAGGAAGAGGATCATCGGGAGAACCTCAGAGCTCGGTGATGGTGATGGTGATAGTAATGGTGATAATGGTGGTGATGATAGTGATGATGGTGAGGATGCTGATGATGGTGATGGCGGTGATGGTGATGTTGATGATGATGGTAATGATGGTGATGGTGATGATGATGTTGGTGATGGTGGTGATGATGATGGTCATGGTGGTGATGGTCATGGTGATGGTGATGATGGTGATAATGGTGATGATGGTCATGGTGATGATGGTGTTGGTGATGGTGTTGTTGGTGATGGTGGTGATGATGATGATGATGATAGTGATGATGGTCATGGTGATGATGGTGATGGTGTTGGTGATGATGGTTATGGTGTTGGTGATGATGGTAATGATGGTGGTGATGGTAATGGTGATGATGGTGATGATGATGGTAATGATGGTGATGATGGTGATGAAGATGATGACATACCTGTATGAGTATTTTGATGCGTGTGATTCACTGGAAGGGCAGCAGGAAGAGGATCATCAGGAGAACCTCAGAGCTCGGTGATGGTGATAGTGATGGTGATAATGGTGGTGATGATGGTGAGGATGCTGATGATGGTGATGATTGTGAGGATGGT